AAATAGTTTGCTTTTCTATTCTTTTTCAATATTTAAAAATATAATCCGTTCTCTGAATTGATCTGTTCTGTGACTGTATCCAAAAGTCTCTCTGGAATAGTATATTTTACCGGTCAAGAGGTAGGTTTATAGTTTTATTTATAATCACAAATAAATCTCATTTCCCCTCCTTTGAGTAATTTTTTTTATGGGGAGAGTTTTTTGGCTTTTTAGCTTTGATTTTGGGTTTTCCTTGCCCTCTTCCAAAGAATGGCTGTAATTATTCTATAAATAACTGGAACATATGGAATGCTTTACTCCACGCACTGGAAGAAAGTGCTATAAAAATGATGAGCACTGAGAGTTTATTAGAGGCAGGTTTCCCTTCCCCTTATCATGTATTCTGTGCTACTGAATTACTGTGAAATTCTAATGAAATCACACTGTGTAGGGGGTTATGGAACAGCTATGAAAGGATCTGCCTGCATTACAAAGAGTTTACTGTTAATTAGCTCTTGTATACAGACACTGTATATAAAAAATCTTTTGTTTGTGAAAGGATGATTAGTTGAGAGAACGTGGTTTGTTAATAGGAAGAAAGTATGAGGATATTGTAATTTAAGTTAATATCTACACATCGTTTTATGTAACCACTTCGCAATGGGGGACCGGGCTAATTAGCTTCTGTTAGTTAAAAGGAAAACGTGAAGCCCATTTAGTTAGGGTGTAAATCAATACAGGCTGATTCAGGGAACTATTATGGTGCTGTTTCCTTACCTCTCCTTCCCCGGATTACATCTTCAGTTTCATGATAGATCTCATCCCAGAAATATAGCAGCTCCATCCATTACTTAAGGAATTCTTTTCCTTGAAATTATACCTTGAATGTCTAAAAGTTTAAGTACTAAAAACTTAGTAAATCTAGATACACATTCACACTAGTTGAATGTTATCTTGGGCCTGGCTTGAATAGCTGAATTAAATTCTGTGGAGAAAACAAGAAGACTTGTATTGCTGGGACATTATTTTAAAAACACCACCACCCTGTTGGTAGAGTTTTTCTGTTCGTACTCCCTCTCTCTATATCCATTTCAATTGTTCCTAAAACTCTCCTCATCATCATTTCAGCTGGAATTTTAAAAGACACCTGGAGGGATAGGTATCTCCTCCCGCTAACATTCAATTGGAGCTACACATAAAGCTCTGTTAGGCTCCCTGGAAAAATCCCAGCGTACATCAGAACATGGCATACACAGTTCACCTCCATTTTTCTCGTGGTTTTCAGGAAAGGATTAGTGTACAAATACTTGTATTTTCCAGTTAAATTAGCTAAGAATACCACAGCTCAACAGCACTCTGATCATGACCCCTCCTGTCATCCCTCCCCACCCCCACACAAACACATCCCATAGGCCTGTTATGTACCTGATGCTGAGATTCTGGAGACAGAATCTGATCCTAAAAGCAGCCTATCACATACATTACAATCAGAGACAACCACACTTAGACATTACAAAAACATACAGAGTGTGTCATAACACTCATAACAGAGCTATGGCTTTCCACAGTATTGCTATGTCTACAGCATAGCACGTCCTGTTGTTCCAATAGCTGGAATTTGGCAACTAGCCGCAAATAAAAGAAAGGCTCATTTCTCCCAGGAACTCTAAAAGCTTTTACTGGTTGGTTTAAGGAGACATTTACTCCCTTTATAGATTGAACTTTTTCTGGTAGTTAACAATGTGGTGAAACCCTTTGTAAAGATAAACAATTTATTGAAATCCCATTTGGGTTGCTGTGGAACAAAGAATCAGTGCATTTATAGATCTAACAAGCAATCTAACAGCTGTTTAGATATCAATCAACTGGTCCAAAGGAAAGGGGTAAAATGTTCCTCATATTTTAAGTGCCGTTCAGCTGGAAATGAGAAAATAAAAGTGATTCTAACATCACATGATGTGGAATTCTACTCGGAAATACTAAGAATAAAAATTCCTGAATATAAGGGGATAATAATGTATTGTCATTAAAGTCTCTAGACACGAGCTGAAAGAAGATATGTTTTGAAATGTCACTGCTGGTCTTTCGGAAAACAAGCAGCGTGGTACCCATCTGATTCATCTTTATTAAACATGACAGTAAAAATTCCTCTGCTATTCCATCAGGCTCTTACAAAAGCCTTCAGGCCAGCGGATCATGGCAAAAACAATTTGCAAATTGCAAAACTGGAAAGAATAACAGCATTGACTGGGAAAAGGAAGTGAGAAATATGTCATTGGTCTGTATTAGAGACTTTTCTGCTGGCTGTTTCAACAACAAAGCACCCTGCTTTTCAATTCAGTCCTGATTCAAGCCAATTTGAACCAATAGTGAAAATGCAGACTAGTCACTAGTGACATGAAGTAGCTCATGGTGGATAAAAGATCGCTAGAGGAATATGTAAAGGGTTCCGTTTAAAGTGAAATAGACACACTTTGGTTTTCACCACTCACATCACACAGAAAATATATAATTTTTGCCAGTGCAGTTTTGCTTATTTTTTCCCTAAACAAAGGGCACTTTTGTCTCCAGAAAATGGACAATTTTCCAAATTTAATACATGTAGGCTTGGAAGCCATAAACCAGCACTGACTTCTTGCACTGGTTTGAAAGTGACAACACGCACACATCCTAAAATGTGGTCACAGTGACACTGCAGTCTTTGTCACAAAATACATTTAGCAAAGCTGTCAGCTCTAAAGGAAACATTCTTTCTTGGAAATGGTTTTCCCAATTCCAGAGTTGAGAGTCACTCACTACTCACACCAAATGGAGCAGAACCTGGTGCGTTTGAATGGATTAAAACATCCCCTTTAATGTTCACCCCTCCCCCACACCTCAGTAGCCTGCTTGACAGTAGATTACAGACTCATTGCAATAAACACTTCTTAGAATAGAAAGAATCTTATAGTGCACGTGTTTGTTTTAAGGTCTTGAAAATGGATAGCTTATTAGCAAATATCTGCCGCAGACTCATGTCACATCCTGAATTCCTCATACGTCCTCAGTTGTAGCCATCTTGGTCCCAGGATATTAGCAAGACTAGGTAGGCAAGTATTTTACTGATCTGACTTCTGTTGGTGAAAGAGATGAACTTTCAA